TAATTGAAATTCACTTAGAGCACCCAGTTTGTTGAGTCCAAAAAAGTTTCTAAACGTTTTCTTCTTGTTCATGCAAAGTGCAAGGGTGAAACGTGTTAGTTACAGCATGCTAATGAGTAGCTATACAACAAAGTACATTTTCGTTTCCGCGCACTTGCTACTGCGCTGTTCCAATAAAAACAAATTCCTGCTAAGGCATACCACGCGTACTCTTCTTCTGTTTGGGCTAGAAACAATTTTACATACATAATTAATAGACGTACAATCTAGAAATCTATTTCTGGCAGTAATTTATACCAACAGGGGATTCCCACTACAGTAAATTTACATATACACGTAAATCAATACTCCTCACTGTCGTCGTGTTTATAGACCTTAGTCTATTGTTGCGTGTTTCCCAGGCAACGCGACAAGAAAATTTATGTTGGTTTTGGATTTGGACGATTATTTATTGAACGATCACTCTTTACACTTACAAATATAATTATTTGCAATTTTAACGTCGTCGGACGTTTCCTCTTCAATGTTATACGCCCTCGCACCGCCAATCTCGGTGAAATGTCTTCTGCTCTGCTCGGAGCTCAGCTGACCTTAGCTCTTGCCAGATACGAACTGTTGTATCCTACACTCGGACTGAATAGGGAACATGTTGTCGAAGGGTTCAGTTTGTGTGTTCAAGTGTCCTGTAAACGCGATTACAGTCCAACCCCGTCTATAGTCACTCTCTCATGTGACGGTATAATTAGCTTTCTCTGAGTTTACTTCTAGCGTCAGTTAAGAGTTTCTGTGGTTTTCTTTGTGGTGTCCATGCTATTTCCCAATAAATTTACGTGTTAATTAGCAGGGGAAAACCGAATAAATGCTGGAAAGCATGTTTCAGTGTCATTTCGTGCACAGCGAAGCTCACATAAATTGTTTTTATTGATTATTTAGTGATGTCAGTAGCTCAGGTTACAAGGCATCCAATGGTAAGGTATAATGAACTGGAAAAGTGGAAAGTAGCGGTTGTGGACAAATTTGGTGTATTATTGTACCACTTCTCTCCAGGAACTGGCGACAACTACGAAGAACCTGTCAAAATAACCAGTGCCCCGGCCAGGGGTCGAACCAGTCACCTTGAAAATACAGTGTTGTGCCACAGTTTATTAATGGGTATGATTTTATTTAACAAGGAATCAATTTCGTGTTTAATTTATTAGAAAATAATTATAAGTTTTATATATTGAAATACGTAAGGTGAACCACAGGTTGGCCAGTCGGAAACCAGGGTTGAGATCACCTTTAAATGCGTTACCGCTTGAGCCACGTTCCTCGGTGAAGCTCACATCCGGGATTGAACCGAAGGTCGCGCGGTAAGAACCCGGCGTGTAAAGGTTCGGCCACACAGAGCGCTACGTACGCTATGTTCCCTATGTTAGCTGCGTCGCAGAGTGTACATAGCGTACGTAGCGCTCTGTGTGGCCGAACCTTAACTCCCTGAGTTACGGTACGTTCTGTAGCGAGAGGCGTTTCCAATATTTGTTTCGCCACTTGCAAAGATTGAGAGAAACCCTGGGAGTGGGTGGGTTGGCTGTTTGCGGAGCATAGGGAGCATGTCTATTTATGGGCAGTTTCCCTGCCGTCCTCTAACTTCTGTGCCATATACTTACTTATTTGTTACCGTGCTTACCTCACAAGTTGCAGCCTTAGGTTTTAGTTGGAAGCTAACACGGGCCTCTACAGCAGAATGTACCCCCCTCCCTCCCGCCCGACCCCATCGCAGCCAACTACAATAACAGCGAACGGTTACGGATGCTAAGGGATGGACTTGGCTTCCTCTCCTCACCCCCGCATTTCTCCTTACCTTTGCCTTCCTGTGATGTTGAGAGGATGTGAATTGTAACAGTGAGGGGGAGGTACACTAGCTCGGGGGTGGCAAAGGATGGCCCGTGAACGGATATTACTCAAAAACGAAGATGGACACGAGGAATGAAAATGTTTATTCCTATTTATGAAAAAGAGATAAGTTTGTCTCTGTGCTTATAAGTAATTAAGCACTACACCATGAAGACTTCTGATTGAGTTGACGTATAGGTCCACGTATTCTTGACATCAGCACTAGATGGAGGTGAATGATGAACTTCACGCTCCGGCCGCTTCATCCCAGGTGCAAGAGCCTCCTGACGCATTGTATATGAGGCACAGGCACTGGCCTGCACGACGTGAAAGAAAAAATATTGGCCCTACCGGTACTCGAATCCCGACCACTCGGCCGTCGAGCCTGCTCGTTGCACCGACTGCGCTCGCCGCGCTCCCTGATCCGGTTTATGTCGAGAAGAATTGGTTTTATTATGATAGTCGTTATTCAGTAAACTGACTGTTTTGTATGAAAACCAGGATTATCGTGGTCACAAGAGCCCCTCTCTGGAGGCTATCCGTCGAGAAGAATTGGTTTTATTATGATAGTCGTTATTCAGTAAACTGACTGTTTTGTATGAAAACCAGGATTATCGTGGTCACAAGAGCCCCTCTCTGGAGGCTATCCACACCCTAAGCTGCTATTTAGGATGCCTTTCTATATTATTGTTCCATTTGCGTCCCCTATCGGAGGTCTAGCATGTTAAGTTCATCCTTTCAGTTTCCGACTGAAACTCAGTATACCTTTCTTGTCTCTTCTATTCTTCTTCATGTCGTGCTTCGCTCTTACTACTTAATTTGGTCGTCATCATCATCATCATCATCTAAGAAACAGACTTCTTTTTTGGACCATAACCTTCCGCAGAAGATTCTGCCAAATTAGTCTGGAATGAAACCATCTGGTTTTCACGTCTTTGGATTTCGCAGCTGAGAGCAAGGTCGCCAGCCTTGCCGCCAACCCTCAACCTATAGAACCAGGTCTCTGTATTTGTATCCTCTAATGACAGGGTGGCCCAGTTATATCCCCAGGTCCTGGGCTCCCTTTTCACCGCCTTCTATAACTCGCAGGGCTACATTGGACGCATTCTAACCTGTCTCCACACGGGTAACTTAATTTGGTCGCCGTAATTATATTTGTCATCGAGCAGATTTTGAAGATAATTAATAATGTCTGGTAAATCACTTTTATTTTCTCCTCCTTAGATTCAGATACGTGGAAGCTCGATGTCGAGGTGAACGGGACAGAGGTCGCCTCGAACTGTCGAAGAACAATACCGAGTAACCCCCTCCCCCCCAAAACAAAGTGTATAGTGTGTATGATTTTATAAATAATGACAAGTGTATTGTACATATTTACTTACATCATAAAATAAAAGCTTCATGCTAATTTAACGCGGAAAAAAACTCCAACTGTGTAAAAGAGTGGGGAGTTGAATCATGTTTACAGCAAGAAAATGACCTTGCAGCCATCGCCTCGGACGTAACGGAACCTCGAACATGTGGAACACTCAACCGCATTCTCGTGAGAATTTTGCTGAGGCGCACCGATCTATGAAGGGTCGTCGAGTAAACCAGGCAAGAAAGCAGCGGAAGCAGGTGGCAGGCTCCTAGTTTCTTGTTTGATTTACTGTTCAGCCCTGAAGATAGAGGCGATATATTCACCCGAAACGTCAAGCAGTCTCCTGACTACGCAGCGTTACAATTCAGAGACCGTACTGTTCATAATCACCGTTGTGAGAGCCTAAAATCCAACACTGCAATACATATTCTTCACTTAGGGTGAAAGGTCATGTTTCTCGTCGCATGCCCAGTTGCTGTTTTCAATACCTTAGTGGCCTCATATCCAATTATTGCATTTATATCAGGAGTCGGGATAGCTAATGCATTAAAATGAGCGATTACGGGCTAAGGAGTCGGGAGTTCGATTTCGTGCACACCTACGTACACTTCGGTTCTTTGGCATGTTCACACTCCTCTCAGATACGAACCGTGAGCGCTCTCTCATGGGGTAAAATGGTCGGTGCATGAAGTTGACCAGGGATCTCCGTCTGGTGCCGAGGTTAAGAAGGTATTCTCACGTTTAGGGGTTGTGCGTCACTTACAAGACGGGTTTTTGGATTTATTGGCTCATTATACGTTCACACTTTTCGGAACTACAGGTTATACAGCGCTATCGCTTATCTCCACACATTACAGTTCACTGTTACACAAGCACTAGGGTTCTCAGTCTTCACTAGTCGTATCCTGGCAAACGGATTTATAACAGTCTCACTGTAATTTCAGAACACACATGAAGTCTTCTTTGCGCCTCCTAATTCCTTTCTTACCATTATTCTACAGTTGCCAATTTCGAAGACTCGACTTAATTCTATTCCTTAGCTCCCAAGAAAACACCGTCTTCTGTTGTCTCCTCTTGCTTTATGCCTATTTACCGCACCAATGCATAGCAACTGTCGCGGCGCGGACCACATAGGAAACGGTCTCTATTGTTGAGTGTTTACTGAGGGCACGTGTCGTTGACTAGCAGTAAGTATACACGTCACAGTATGTCTGGACCTGTGCCTTTGTCTGCCATATGACGTTATGCCCTGGTTTTAATGGCAGGGGTAATTTTACTCTTTATAATTCTGTAGGTTGGAGATACAGACCCTGTATTTGCAAAGGTAATCGGATATTCTGTTGCGTTCAGTAGTCATTGTGTCGGTGTTTCAACTGCCTGTGTAGATTTAGATAAAGGCTCCTTGAGTCATGACGCCACGTAGTTTCGTAGATGTTACGAAAGTTTCGGAGGAACCTGCTTCCTCCATCTTCAGGGCCAGCCTAGAACTTCACACCTTAATTTTCCACCGCCGTTTAAAAGGAAATGATCTTGTCACGTGTTGATGTTAATGAGATCTTCCGGTAAATTTTACCTGTTTACCATTTCTTTTGTACGATGAAGTGCTTTTGAGAAAACGTAGCTTTAGTTGAGCTTCGTGTAAAATAGTTGACCAATGTAACGAAGTGACAGGCACACGTATACGACTTCGGCATCATGCTTTCAGTTTATATAGTTCTTAGAAACAGTGCATATTTCTGTGTGGTAATAATGTTGTTTGTTTTAGGATGCTGTTTCGTGACCTTCTTCACAAGAAAATCTGCGCTGGACGCTCAAAACGCACTGCACAACATCAAGACGCTGGCAGGGGTAAGTACAAAACACGAACTTTCTCCCACCCCCACGAGCAGTGTACCCAGTTTCGTGACACGTCACTTCAAATTCGCCATGAGGTTATGCGTTCCACAGTTTTAACAGCTCTCCATATGCGGTTTCATACTTTAATAACATCGAACCACGATATAAGGGGTGCCATGTTCGGGTTTGTGCTGCATAACGCTTGTTACCAATCATTTCTTTTATAATTATCTTTTCTTCCCCCTTTCTCTGGCACGAGCTGCAAACAAGAGGAGACAAGCGGAGGAGTAGGAAGTAAACACGTGGAATCAAACATGAAATGAAGAAACAAATACAAACAGACTGACCCTTTGTCCCATTAAGTAGGTTTCTTGTAGATTTTGATATGGGAAACTCGGTAATTATCAGTCTGTAGACAGCTTGCCAACAAATCTCCCATCGTGTCTATTCGTATGCTGTTCAATTTTTCCCCATGATCTAGGTTCGTTCTGTTTCCTCAGAAATTTATATGTCAACGTGAAGGGCCGCTCCAGAACGGTTGATAGTTACGCAGCTTGTCAGAAAGTTCCCCGTTTTAGTGGTACTCCAGTGTCCATTAGTAGTTTGCAAGAAACCTGTCTTGAGCCCTGTCCCCAAGATAATATTTTCAGCCTCTACATATATCTTAACGCCATGTTTCTCTTCACTCGCGTCGAAGATTGGCGGTTAAGAAGCTTGTACGAAGGCACGTGAAATATTTCTTCAGTTCCCCTTGTCAGGTCAGTCAAGAATCGCCGTGTTGTGTGACCGAGACACAGTGATGATAATCATTGCAGGGCGTATGAAACGATTTGCTACTCCCTACTTCAGGGTGCTGAGTCTTGCTGTGTAACTATTTAATTTGTTGCGAAGGAAACTTTATTCGAATAGATTTAAGTCTAGTTTTTAACTTCGGGATTGTATTTGTTTAATTTGTTAACGCTCGTGTGTGGGACTAGTGATCTTATGGAACTGTGTACCATCATCTTAACCAGTTCGGCACTAAAGAACTTCTGTCAGTAATACAGGATCGTAAAATAACATCTGAACTCACCCACTTCTCCGACTTTATCGTTACAACATGTATTTAGTTGACCCCTGCAACCGAAATGGTACGAGTAGCCTCGGAAGATTGGCATCTCGTCATGCTATTAACATTTCTGTAGTGGCTAATTTGGAGACGAGCGATGCTAACTCTACATTGACTGCTGCTATAAAGATTTCGGTATGTCTTGTCGGCCTGTTCCTTGAAACTGACCTATAAAACAATGCCATGAATCTTGCTAGGACATCATTAATGTCTTAGCATATCGCTCACCGTTTGTGTTGCGCAAGCAGTTTTACTGCCGTGCAATCGATTGTGTCTTCTTTCCGTCGACAAACGTAATAATTAAGGAGCCAAATATATGCTGGGATGCCGATGTCAGGTCACAGTGTTTCTGTACATGGTGTCGAGATTATTTAGCGGCTGGCTTAACACAGTAGACGCGCGGTCTAAGGCATGAAATGTCTTCGCCCCCTCGAACATTGTCATCGTGGGTTCGAATTCCACTCAAGGCATGGAAGTTTGTCTGCGTTTATTCTGTGATTGTGTAGGTAGCAACCTTGCAACGGCTCATCTCTCGTCCATCGAGCCCTGCGGACTAAGATTAAGGAACTGAAGCGAAGCAAGTGTTTGCCGGATGATGCGTTATGCTCCAAGTTGGAGCAACAGGGATGGGTGGATGGATGGATAGATAGACAGACAGATAGATTCGTGAAGTGTCTAGTTAGAATCGTGATTTGGGTTCTTCATGAATTTCCTTAGTTTCTCCATCCGATTGGAAGATGATACCTGTCTAAGACGGAACCTACATTGAACGGAATTGTAAGACGGAATATTTCTCCATTGTCTGAAATATGCAGATAGAAATAAAAAATAAGGATGTTAACGAAAGTAGTCACTGGTGTCTGTTCATGCAATTCAACTATGAATCCATCTGCTTCGTTCTTGAAGTTTATATGAAAATGAATATTTATTTTCAAAATTTGAAGACATTTTAGCCAGGCCATATGAAGAAAACAAAGAAAATTAAGACAGAAAGGAGAAAGGGAAAAACGAATAACGGAAGTAAAGAATGAAAATATGAGAAAATGGAAGGATACGTATTCGGGATGTAGTAATTTGATTTGTCTCATTCTGGTCCGTCACACTATTAATTACAAAGTAGATAACTTTCAGTCCAGTATGACATAGAGGTTTACAACACTTCAGTCTTTATTCGCCTTACATGTTTCGATTCAAAAGAATCATCTTCAGAGGCGCACCACTACGAGCAGGAAACACTGTCACATAAGATGTTTTAACATTATGCACTTAGGTTATGAATAGTGCTCACTATATCACAGTTTGCCCTATGCAGCCACGTTGACGTGTAGATTTACGTATGTTTAGTTTGAGTGTATTTGCTGGGTATTCGATTGGGGTTTCCCACTGCACGCAATGTGATGTTCACTTTTCCATAAAATAGCTTCCCTGTGTATTTAAAATTGTATTAAAAATCTTTTGTATGTAAAGGATTAGTTTATTATGTTAAAAATCGTGAACCAGCATTGGGTCATGTTGTTTTTCACTCCGGATGGTAGAAAATGTCGATTATTTCTCTTGGTTGTATGTTCTTATTGTTAGTTGTGTAGTTTACATGCGTGCTGTGTCGTATGTACTGTACATACGTGTCACGTGGTCAGCGCAACGGATTCCCACGGCCGTTAGTCTTGGTTTTCTAGACCAGAGTCGCTATTTCCTTGAAATATCTCCTCAGTTATCCTCGCGAGGCTGAGTGGACCCCGTTCCAGACCCACTACTTCTCAAAAAATCTGGTAGCGCCGGAAATCGAACCCGGGACCTCTAGATATGTAGCCTGGAGCTCTGACCACTAGACCAGAGACTTAAATTTTTAAAATTCGATCGGTACTGTTCGACGGTGAAATCAAAAAATTGTCTCGCCGAATGTTCATGAATTAATTTGACTTTGATCCAGGGAGGAAGGCTGCTGTCATCATGCAAGGAAGTTGGAACTGGTTTCGTTAGCTGTGCTCGCGTCATTGCTCCCTCCCTAATCACTGTCTGTCTGTAATTTAAGACCGTTCTGATCACGAGCGGTGGGCGTCATTGTTCCCCAGCGCAGCTTCCGTATCGTCGCGTGAATAAAAGGACGCTCACATAGGGTGTGTGAAAGGAGTGGGTCCCCTGTTGTTAAGGAAACAAGGACATTCGTGTATGAGGTGTGGCACGGGTACAGCTCTGTGAAAAATATTTTGGTCCCATTCACGAGATGTTCCGTAACTGCTCTGCTGGGAAGGAATGTTTTAGATGCCGTATGAAATATTAGAATACACAAAACTATAGTTTTGCCTGTGGCTATGTATGGGTGTGAAACTTGGTCTCTGACATTAAGGGAGGAACATAGACTGAGGGTGTTTGAGAACAGGGTGTTGAGGAGGTTAGAGAAACCTGCATAATGAGGAGCTTCATAACTTGTACTCTTCTCCAAATATAATTAAAATGATCAAGTCAAGGAGGATGCGTTGGGAAGGGCATGTAGCACGAATGGTGGAGAAGAGTAATGCATGTAGGATATTGGTGAGGAAGCCAGAAGGAAGGAGACTACTGGGCAGACCAAGACGTAGGTGGGTTGACATCATTAAAATGGATCTTAGAGAGATAGGATGGGATGGTATGGATTGGACTGATCTGGCTGAAGATAGGGACCAGTGGAGGGTTCTTGTGAGCACGGTAATGAACCCTCGGGTGCCAAAAAAATGCTGGGAAGCTCTTCAGTAGCTGCGCAATTACTTTCTCAGAAGGGCTCAGCTCCATGAATGAAGAAACTAATTGTTACTGCGCCGCTACGTTGTTTCCCACTGCAGTAATCCACCTTGAAAATCGTTTAAACAGATCACATCAGGATTGTATTTATCTCCAGTTATAACTTGTTTCGCGACAGCAGTTGTCGGTTACAGGCAGACCTTAGACTGATTTGAACTATTGCATGCAGTGAATGAAGAACGTAGCAAGGATCTCTGTTGCGAAGTTCGGTCCTATCATAATTCCTAGTGTCGCTTTTTAGTAATTATTCTTTTCTATTTATTTCGGTACTCTCTGTCTCCTCAACCTTTCCCTACTCCTACCCTTCCGTTATTCCTTTTGTTTCTGTAACATGATTGAGGCACTGTGCTACAAGCCGAAAGGTCACGGGATCGAATCCCGATGAAGTGGATTTTTTTTTTCAATTTACCTAATCCTTCCAGCCGCACTATGGCCCTGTGGTCGACTCAGTCTCTAATAGAAATGATTAGTAGGAAGCTTCCTGGGAGGTAAAGGGCGGCCGGCGCGTAAGGCTGACAACCTCACCGTCATCTATGAGCCGATTGTCTAGAAAATGTGGGAGCCTCCACGGCCTGTTACAGGGATACCTTTACTTTTTTTTTTTTACTATATAATTCAGTTCTTTCTCCATGTTTCTTCCTCTTTTTATCACTTCATCGCCTTCTTTGTTCATTTCTCTGTCCCTCCTTCCTGATTTCCTATTCTTATTTCCTCACTTTCTTTCCTCATGTTTTATTGTCTCATTTTTTTTAATACATGTATTCGTTAGAGGTGTTTGGCAGTACACTTCTGAAGGAAATTCTGACCTGTAGTTCTTTCATGATTCCAGTCTCCCCTCTGTTACCTTGACGTCGGGTCTCCTTGTTTCTTTGTTTCGTTTTTCCCTGCTAACGAGAAGGGCCGACAAAGACTTAAAGAAGAAATGTTAAGTTTAACAAACAAACTTGGGTAGTACATCCACTTGTGTACAGTTGTTTGTATTTTCAACTTCACCTCTTCCGGTGACGAGTTCCATCAATTTGCGGTGCAAGACAAACTTTTCCTTTGCCTCGCTGTTTCTTCTTACATTTGAAATGTATCCAGCGACAGTGAATTCGAGTCACGTAAACAAACGCGTGACACCGGC